ATTCCTTAAGAGTTCTAGCATTAAAGAGAGGGCAGACAAAAAGTACCATCAAATAAGTGTTAGAGAATTGGTGGTGCTCATGTAACATGGATTATTAGATTCTGGAATACTGCAAGGAAAAAAGGAAAACTGCAAGGAAAAAGCATTTCTGATTTTGTTTTTTTCAAAATTCATGTGCTCCAGTTGACAGGCAGGAAATAAAGAGGTCATTGTAATAATACAATAGGGTTTTGCCATTCTGCAGTTCTGAAGGCACAAGCTTTATTAAGAATCTATAGTGTTCTTTTCTACTGACTGAAAGCAAGGAGACAAATGGTTGAGGATTCAGCTTGGGTGGGGGTTTTTTTGTTGCTTTTTTTTTTGTCTTTTCTTTTCTTTTCTTTTCTTTTCTTTTCTTTTCTTTTCTTTTCTTTTCTTTTCTTTTCTTTTCTTTTCTTTTCTTTTCTTTTCTTTTCTTTTCTNTTTTCTTTTCTTTTCTTTTCTTTTCTTTTCTTTTCTTTTCTTTTCTTTTCTTTTCTTTTCTTTTCTTTTCTTTTCTTTTCTTTTCTTTTCCTTTTTCCTTTTTCCTTTTCCTTTTCCTTTTCCTTTTCCTTTTTCCTTTTCCTTTTCCTTTTCCTTTTCCTTTTCATCACACAGTTCTGGTCTCCTTTTTGCCTTTTTTTGTCTTGCCACAGAAGAGGGAAAAGAAAGGAAGAAAATAACCCTCAAACCTGAGAACACGATATCCCAGGAAAATTCAGTTTCAGGCAAGGAAATACATATGTTTTTCTTCTTTGAGGCACTAGCTATTCAAAGTTGCTTTTAGCCATGCAAAGGGCATCTCAGACACAAAACAAGCTACAGAATGATGTGGTAATATTGTCAGATCTTAAGAAGCAAATTCTGCAATGATGCAGATTACAAATGAAATATAGTATATAGCCTTGTCTCCTTCATTTGTGGTAAGCAGCTCAGTAAGATTGGAATATAATAAAATAAAGTAGTATGGCATAGAAAAATAAAATTAAAAGTTCAGAGAAAGAAGATAATAATGACAAGAAATTTTCAAATTGTGAAGGTTTTCTTAATTTCAGAAGGTAATCTTGCAGTTACCATTTCAGAGAAAAGTCAATGGAAGAGTAGCAAAGCATCAGCAACTTCCTTGCTCTTCAATCCACTTTATACTGGTGTGTTACTTGCAGGAATCTCCCTTTTGACAGCTCAAAACACACTCAAGTATTTTTCATCTATTTTTTTCACCTTCTGACATACTGGCATTACTTTCAGGGTTACTAACAAATGAAAAGTTAAATTTATAAGCCTATCATTTGTTTCTTATTTATCCTGTGATCCATTTGCTTTTTTGGGAAATGCTAAGGAGCTTTAGAAGGGTATGAAATTGCAAAAACAAAGTAGATTTTTTTTCCAGTTGCTGTATAAGTTTTCCACATATGGTTCACTGCCTACTTTTTCAGGGTCTTCTTTAACTTGAAGGACAGGAGAAAATGAAGACCAGAATTTGCTATTCACTACTGCATACTTTAAACTTTTCAGGAGGTCATCTCACACTGCACCGCACTGGGAGCTTTGATATGGTATACTGCCTCTGAACCTCAGCTAATCCATCACCTGGTGGCAGGCTGCACACAGTTAGCATTAAAAGAGAACTTAATCTGTCAGATTCAGATAAGAATCTATACCTATTTGTTCATTTTGTGAAACTTTAAAAACAGGTATAAACAACCACTACAAGACATCACTGTAAAGACCGATGTTATTTGTCAGTGTACTACAGGGGATACCAATTCAGACTGACCACATCATTAGGTGTTATTGAACTGTTCCAGCCCTTAAACAGTGCTGCATCAAAATACGGTCTTGGCTGCTACACAAAGTGTAGCCATGCCTCTTTTCTCTGTGCCTAGAACATCTTAATTCTGTGCTAATGCTACAGGGAGGCCTTTAGAATTAATGAGGCCAGATAGCTTGACCACTGCTGTCAAGATTCATAAAAATTCTGAATATGAAAAATGAGGATCCCTTTTCATTAAAGACAATTAAATACTTCAATACATGATAGGAAAGCATTATTCATTACACTAATGACGTGTGTGATAAATTGTTAGCTTAGGCAGTTCAAAAGAACTCAAAAGCTGAGATGTGATACCATGCTTAGACAGATCAAAGACCTTCTGCAATGGTAACAGCTCCCATCTTTAGTGACCAGAAAGCATATTCACTAGAAGTGATGAGTTTGGTAGTCTCGATATATTCCTCAGAAGTTCCCCTAACTGCTGAAAATGTAGTGGAAATGGATTTTGATAGGAAATTCCATCTCTTTGGAGGTAAAAGTCAAAAGAACGCAGCATCAAATTTGCATTATCGCAGATTAATTCCTAAACTCCAAATAAGATTTCTTTTCTAAATCTTTGATCTTCATCGTTCCTGTGGAATTGATCAAAATAAGAAGAAAATGGTCTATATCAGACCAGGGATCTGTATTTAGCAGGAATCTGCACTCTCAAAGTTCAGATTGCCCTTCTCAATTATTTTTCACCTTTTTTTTTCTCATTTTCTGACATATTGATGTTGCTTTCAGGGTTTCCTACAGTGAAGCATTAACTTGATATACCTATAATGCGTTTCTTATTTATACTATGATCCATTTAGTCTGGAAAAATGCTCTGTATCAGAGCATTTTCATGCCTTCCATAGATATGCAGGAGACTACATCAATTTATTTCTTTAAATTATATTTCATACAATATTATACATGAAATATCAAATAATTGTCAATATATATATTTCATAAAATACTGATTATTGTTCTCTTATTTTCTAGAAAATTTCTGATCCTTTAAATATTAAAATAATCTTTTTTTTTATGTCTGTTCTAAATATGGGGTTTAAAATACAATGAAATTTAAATCTTAAATAACTTCTTAACTAGAGTACTCTATACTTTCGATGTATGGACTGGAACTGATTAGTGCTAATCGACTTCCTTAACTCAAACTTTTCCATCTCATTCTTAAATATTGCTGCATTTGCTGTGTGAATAAAGTGTTTCTGAACACAGTTTTCAGCACTGGATTACTGATCAGTACAGGCTGTATTTGGGCAAGATATTTTTTTATTTATTTTTGATTGTAGCAGGCCTACTATTTTGAATAATGCAAATACTATCTGAATCCAAACACATCTTGTGAAATTATATTAGTGTGGAGGAACAGGGTCTTAGATTCTGCTGTTTAAAAATTAATCTGGTTTTGGTAGGAGAAGAAATTTTATAGGCAAGTTTTTAAGTAAAAACTGATTCCCCATTAAGAGTATTCTGAAAAACATAAAACACAATTTTACTTTTGTTAAAGTTCTGTAGACTCTAAGGTCTGAAGAGTGCATATAAATCAAAGCATTATTTTGCATATTTGAGGAATCTGCCTAATACCATTTACATGCTTCCTCTTTCCTTTCCTTTCCTTTCCTTTCCTTTCCTTTCCTTTCCTTTCCTTTCCTTTCCTTTCCTTTCCTTTCCTTTCCTTTCCTTTCCTTTCCTTTCCTTT